ACTGGTCGTCTCCCAAGTCCAACAACAGACCCTTCCCCCACTCATCCCACGACCACCGCTTCACTGGCGCACCTCCGCAACCGCGTTGGTAGTGTCCCCCGCAATCCCTGCCCGTCATCACCCGGGCCTCGTCTCCCCGTGAAATCACGTGCATCAAACCTCCTCCGCCTTGCATCTGCCCAAAATTTCGTCAGAACGCAGCGTCAGCAGGGAAAAAAGTTCTCCTCGGGGGGGCGGAGACGCTGATGCCGGCCACTGACTCACTGCTAAATCTCGCAAGTTTGCCGCTGTAGCCATCTGCGCAAACATTATACACGTCACCTCACAGATTGCCGTTTTGTTGAGGTCTCTCATGTCGGCGCATATCGGATTTTAGCTTTCGTGTCTCGCACCTCCTAGTAAGTCCCGTGATAGCTTCACCACTCCGATAACATGCGCATTCACCACAAAATCCACGTAATTTGGTCTCACATCGTGCATTCGCAATCAATGGCCGAAGCCTCTATTGTCCTCGTCGTCTAAACAAGAACCCCAATGTCAAGAATAAAAGAAAAAAGTTCGCAACTGCAGATATCTGTCTATCCCATTTGCCAATGCAGAGGCGGCAGCCGCCCTTTTGGAAAGAAACGCGGTTTTGCCAATCTTTCAATTCCCTGCCCCCAATTCCATACTTCCCATGCTGTCCGCCTCATCTTCAATTCCCGTCTCCCTAGTTGCCCGGCCTGGGTCATGAGCGGCCGTGGCAGCGGCGGCACGCTTCAAATCAGAAGAGTAGTAGCAGTCATTTCAAGTCGTGAACCCCTACCCTCCTTTTGTTTTCCTTGTTCTACTATGCCTTTCATAAAAAACAAGAAACAGAAACCGCCCGCTTTGTGAGGAGGAAGAGAGAAGATTGGGGGGAAAATGCGGCACCCAGCCCCTGAAACCTTCCGTTTTTGGATGTCGTAAAAACCGTAGGAAACAATCTCTTCTTAGACAGCGCCGGCCGTGATCATCTTCTTGCGGAGGTAGTTCTTGTACTCGCCTATCGTGCCGTCCCAAGGCTTGATGGTCTTGTTCTCGCACACCAGAATCTGCTTGGCGATCTTGTCCAACAGTCTATGACGGGGTTAGCATTATGCTTATGAAATGGAATGGGTCTAGAAACATACCTGAAGTCGTGGGAAACGACGATGACACCACCGCTGAAGGCGTTGATGGCGTCGGCCAAAGAGTCAATGGTGGGGATATCCAAACCGTTGGTAGGCTCGTCGAGCAGCAGCATGTTGGGGCTCTCGATGGCGAGCAGGGCAAAAACGATACGCGACTTCTGTCCGTCGGACAGGGTGCCGATCAGGGAGGTCTGGGCCTCGCCGGTGAGACCGTAGCGGCCGAGCTGCTGACGCCAGTACTGATAATCCTGGGACTTTTCGGCATACTTCTCACGGACGAAGTCCAGTGCCGACTTGGTGAGGTCGAGCTGCTCCGCAGAGTGCTGGGAGTACAGGCCGAGCTTCAAGTGGGTGTGGCGGGTGACGGAACCGTTGGTGGGGGAGAGCTTGCCGGTCATCAGGCGCAGCAGGGTGGACTTGCCGACACCGTTGGGGCCGACGAGGGCGGTACGGGAGTCCATGTCGAAACCGAGGTCGATGTTGCGGTACAGGTCGTCCTTAGCGTCGCCAGAGTAGGAGAAGGTGACGTTGTCGAAGGACAGGACGGGAGGGGGCAGCTTCTCGACGTCGGCGAAACGGAAGGTGAAGACCTTGTCGGGGATGACGGGCTGGATGAAGCCGTCGGCCTCCATCTTGTCGAGGATCTTCTGGCGGGACTTTGCCTGACGGACCAAGTTGGCGTAGGTACCGGCGGAGGCGATGAACTTCTTGATGTGGACGATTTCGTCCTGCTGCTTCTGGTAGGCCTTCATCTGGTTGGTCTCCTGCTCGGATCTCGTCTTGCTGTACGAGTCGTAGTTACCTCCGTAGTAGAGGAGCTGCTTCATGCGCATGTCAAGCATGGTGGTGCACACACCGTTGAGGAAGTCCATGGAGTGGGAAACCAGGATGAGCGTACGCTCCCACTTCTTGAGGTACTCCTCGAGCCACACACAGGCCTCGAGATCCAAATGGGCAGTGGGGTCGTCGAGCAACAGCAGGGAGGGCTTGACGAAGAGGGCCTTGGCGAGGGCGACACGCATTCTCCAACCACCAGACATGTCCTTGGTCTTCTTGTGGATGGTGGTCTTGTTGAAACCCAGACCGGTCAGAATGAGGGAGGCACGGGTAGCGAACGTGGAGGGGTCCATCTTGTCCATGTGCTGCGAGATTGTTAGCTGGCGGTCATTCGTCGTTCTCGAGTAGAGTATCACATACCTCGTACAGGTCCATGAGGACGGGGTCCTCGGGGCCGCTCTCCTCCAGAATCTGCTCAGCCTTCTTGTCCAGGCGCTCCATCTCACGCTCGGCCTCGGTGACGACCCACTCAAGGGCACCCATGTCGGTGGGGGGAGCACCCTCGTTGAGAAGGTAGATGTCGACGTGGTCGGGGATGGGGTACTCGCGGTGGGCGATGGCCTTGAGCAGGGTGGACTTTCCGCAACCGTTCTCACCGAGGAGACCGTAGCGGCGGCCGTAGGTCAGCTCGAGGGTGGTGTCGGTGAAGAGGACGCGGCCGTGGAAGACGAGGGATGCACTGGTGATCTTGACGTCTCTGCTGCTGGGGACGGAGGCCAGGACACCGGTGGTGACACGGTCGGAGATGCCATGCTTGTCCATCTGGGCGGCGAGGCGGCTGACCTCGTCCATCTTATCGGCAGAGGTAGCGGGGCCATCCTCGCCGTCGCCGTTCACCGACGATGCGGTGGTGCTGGCATTCTTGGAGGCGCCCTCCTTCTCGGCCTTCTTCTCAGCGCGCTTCTTGGCGAGCTTGCTCTCGCCCTTGGCGGCGAGTCTCTTCTCCTTGGAGGCGGAAACCATGATGGCGGTGTTGTGATGGAGGAGGAGGGGGTTTTTTGGTGATGAATGACGATGGCGGGGTCGTCGTCTACTTTTTTAAGCGATGGCGGGGAACGTGGTCGTCCGGCAGAAAAGCAGGAGGGAAAAAAAGAGAAACACGGGACCCTTGTGTGTTTTCTGATGATGCGGTCGACTACGATGGGAAAATGCCACGCAGCGTCAAGTCGGCGATGAAGTCGACTTCTAAGGAGAGGATGGGGGAGGAGGAAGAGGCGTGAAGGAGAAGGAGAGAGAAAAAATTCGACGGTTTCTCTGACTGGGTGACGGGACCAAGCGACAAAGCAAAAAAAGTCCTTTGGGCGTGGAGCGGCGGTGCGAAACACAGCCTGGAGAGCGCTGATTTCAGGTTCCCAGTGCTGAAAGGTGGGGAGGGGTCGCTGTTCTGACGACTTGGTAGTGGGGCAGGAGGACTCAAAATTTTGAAAAAGCTGATAACCGATAGGGTAGCGAGGCGATAAGGCACCAACCTGCGTCTCAAAAGATACGTACCGACCTTGCCTCTGAGGCCTACAAGGTACTGCTGCTGTTCCTCGAGCAAACAGCCACGTCAAGCGCCGGGTATTTTTACCAATATCAATGCATGCAAAGGACTCGGCTGCAGACTGGGTGAATAGCGAGGCGGCCAATGACACGATGTGCTGTGAATCACTTTAATGTCGACGGCTGCGACTGAGGCTGTTGGCGAGTGAACCCTTTCACAGTGTTGCCCCTCAGCATGTGGCTATCCTTATCTAATCAGCATTGCCAGTTGTCCTGCTGGCTGCAACTTGCAGCACAAGCAGGCCAATGGGGCTTGACGTCACGTCACGTGCAGCTCCGCCTGACTTTACCTGTGACGTGATTGGGCGGGACTGTCAGCAGCAGGCGGTGATGGACGAAAGATATTAGTCGAAGCGTATGTTTTCTTGTAAATACTATTTCAAATGTTTTATGCGACCAATATTCCGTATATCATTGGGTATCTTTCCGGCTGATGACTGGAATTAGCTCTGCCGTCCATATGAGATGCTTCCCGTCCCTATTCCGTGTGTATATATCGTCTCTCCTTCTCTTGAGGGTTCTTCCTCTGAACAAATACGATGGTCTCTACTGAACACGCATTCTGTGGTATTTATTTGATCACTCCGCCGTTTTCACCATCTTCCTATCCAGAAGGCTATGGTCATTTGCGGTGACTCTAGACCGGGACGCAACCCTTCTGTGGGGATCGTTCCGGATGTCGTAATGGCGTACAACCACGACCGTTTGAATGAGGTCAAGGCCATGCTTTGACGTTGACGGTGTAACAACACTGCTTTTCGTCCTGGCACTGCGGCCGTTGCGGGTGGCGTGTGGTAAGTTGTCGTTGCCCATACCACAACGCTATGGGCGCGGGAGTGCTTGTCCATCGTTCGTTGTTGGAGGTGCCTCTGAGGACTGCTCGGGGCTGGTTCATCGTGGAGCCAAAGATCCTTGTTACGCTGGATCGCCCGGGTGTTGAGCACAATCCAGCATTGTCCAACAGTATAATCGTCCTGGGCAGCACTAGTGCAACTTCGCTGTGAGGAATTCCTCAGCAACACTCCGGTCCGGGACAGTTGAGCCTGTCCTCTCTCAGTATCGACCTGGGCAATTCAGTCCATCGTTCCCAGCGAAGCTGCCTATCGCCTGTCGTGATTCGCTTTGTCCCTCGTGAATCTCTGGCGACGCTTCGAAGACGCGGAGCCTATTCTTGACAATCTGTCGGCCTGCGAATTCCCGTCGGGCACTGTCGCCGTCGTTGAATTTGAATGTTTCGGCGAGCGTCCCGTTGTTGCGGTAAAGACCTGTCGGCCGCCTCTGCTTTCGTCGGTCCGCGCCCCGCGATCATGTCGTAGGCCGGGCGGCATAGCAAGACCTCTTGCGTCTGTTCCCTCGCATGCGTCTGGTCGGAGGTCTTTGCCGCCACGCATTATCGTCGATGGCGATGCTCTCAGGCTGGTGCTAAGCCAAGTGTAAATCTCTTTCCATATCATCCACTTCGTCGGTGTCTCAAAACCTCGCCTGCCGACTACTGTAATCCCTCGCCACCGTAACGCTCCCGTCCGCCCCGGGCACAAACCTCACATAATGGTTCGCAAAATAACTCAGCATCATCCTCCTCGGCACGAAGATCTCCCATGCGCTCGTCGGCGGCACGGGGACCATCTCGCACAGCTCGCCCCTCGGCACGAACACCACGTCCGAGTACTGCCGCCTGATATTGTCGACCTCGACGCACGCGAAGACGAACAGCGCAAAGTGCACGACCCTGTAACCTCCTTATCAGCAAAACTTCCAAACACCCACAGGAGGGAAACTCACATTAGCCAGAACATGAAGAATATCAACGCCGTCATGGTATGCGTCTGCCTCTCATCAACCTGCCAATACGTCGGATCCAAATCCATATACGACAACCACCCACTAATCACAACCCCCATCGTCGCCGCCGTCGCCGCCCAAATCAATAAATGCGCCGCCACATGCCCCCCCGGGCTACCCCAACTAAACCGCGTACTCCGCGGCCGGTCCTTGCTCTTCGTCCACCGCACGCCTCTATCCCTCACAAACAGCGCCACGAGGTCGCCGCCGCTCCAGAGCATCGCAAGCGCGGACGTCGGACTGCCCATGGCCCAGTTGCTGACGTACATGTCGTCGGTCTCGCGCATGGAGCCCAGCACGCCGCCGAGGATGACCAGCGCAAGGAGGAGCGAGGCGATACGCAGGCAGAGCGTGGTGCGGTACATGGAGCGGTTGTGCGGGATCGCGGCGAGGAAGGCGCCGTGGCGGGTGCCGCTCGGGTCCGGGGCGAGGGTGGTTATGGCTGGGTGGAGGGGTGTGTTGTCCATCGTTGCGGTCCGTCGTCGTCGTCGGAAGAGGAGGCGGCGGTCTGCATCGGGTCTCAATGGAGGTTCGTTCGCCTATGGCGATTGGGATTTGCGCGTCATGGGCGCCATGCGGAGGTCTCGGTCAATGGCTCTTTCGGTATGATGTTCAATTCCGTAGTGCGGCGGTCTCGTTATCGAACGGGTTCGAGGGTCGTCGAATTACGCGGTAATTGTGAGGTCGTCGCAAGCGGTGGTGTTGATACGGGAAACATTGGGAGCGCAACATGGGCAGCGATGAGAGGCCGAGGGGAGAAGCCGAAGGGGACGGCGACAGGGGTTAAGATGCTCGATTGAATCCCTCCCAGGGCGGACGGTCCATTCACAGCGCGACGTTGCCGTTCTGGCGGGAGGCGCCCGGTGGGGCACCTCGTTTCCTGCAGGGCCTGAAGCATGCTGCGACGGGGCGCGGCGCCCCCGGGAACCTGCTGTGCCACTGGGAAATACGGGGACTTTTTTTTGATTTTGATGTCACTGGGGGATGGGATTTCACAGGTGAAACATGACGTTAAGGCGCATGTCCATCACCTAATTGAAGGAACGAATACCGCCTCACTTTGGAGTCAATGATCAAGTAACGACACTCTAGAACACCAATTCTTGAAAGATAGCTCAATATGCCCATGTATTCATAATCGTAATATCCCAAAAATATAGCAAATATCATGACACCATGCCATGCAATTTTGACAATCCCCAACGCCATGCGTAAACCATTAACAGTCCTCACGGGGGTATCTTCCTCTCCTGCTCACATCGACCTCGTCCTCGCACCACCAGCCCCTCCCCTTGAACTCTCGCCCAAGACCAAATTCTTATTCAACCTGAACTTGCCCTCCCTCGAGTCCCCAGCAGCAGGCGTCATCCCATTCGCCCCCGTCGCAAACTTCAAGTCCACATCCCCGGGCAGAATAAGCTGCGGCTGCGCGTCCCCCCGCCGCATCCTCTCCAGCTCCGCCTCGTCCGGCACGTAATCGTCCGGGGGGGCCTTCATGCTCGGCCGCAGATGCCGATCGCGGTCCCCGGGCGTCGTCCTCGGCGGCAGCCCGCGGACGGGTTTGCGTTTGATGGCGGAGGGGAGCGCGTGCTGGTGTCCCGGGCGTTCGGGCAGTGGCGGCGGTGGCGTCTCCGGGCGCGGCGACTCGGTGAAATCGGGGAATGCGGCGACGGGCTCGGTGGCTCCAAGAGGGCTCGACGACTGCGGCGAGCGCGGAAAGGAGGGCGCCCTGGCGGAGTTCTGGGACTGCCACGTCGGCAGCTTGGGAAAGGGTTTCGCGACAACGTAGACTGTCTGACCTGTCTCGGGGATGTACATGACGCGCGGTCTGCGGCGGCGGATCTCGCGGCTGCGCTCGACGCAGGCGCGGATGAAGAGGCAGAAGCGGATGAATCTGGAATCAGTGTTAGTCTTGAAGAGTTGTGATGTCGGTGAAACATACGCGTTGATGCCTGTCAGGGTGCAGGCACTGAGGGCAAGGCTGGCCGGATTGTTCGCCGGGTCGCCGTCCATCCACCTAAGTTGCAGCCCGACCCATCCCGCCGCCACGGCAGAGACGACGGAGAGGACGAGCTCGAGGCCGATGAGGGCTTTCGGCGTGATGCCGCGGCCGTAGCGGGCGCAGAGCGTGAGGAACTCGGCCAGGTCCCAGAAGAAGGACGGCACGGCCTGTGTTATATCTTGTAAGTTTTACCAACTTCGGGCAAGCGGCAGAAGGACGACATACCCCGACCAACAAGATCCCAGGCCAGATATTCAAGACGAGATTCGGCCTGTACGAGTACCACGCCAGACAAATACCCAGTACGATGGCGCTGAAAAGCGTGCCGCAGGCCCTGAACACAATCTTGCACACCTCCCACCCGCGGCTGCGCTGGTTCTCGAGCCAGCGCACCTGCGACGGGTCGATGGACGCGGCGGACGGGGACGGCGAGGGCGGCTTGCCGGCGTCGACTTCGGCGGAGTGCAGGGACTCGAGCTGGTAGCTCTCTGCGGCGGGCGCGCTGCTCATGGGCGGCGGCGCATGGAGTCTGTTGCTGGACCGGTCCTCCTCCCAGTAGTTCAGCGCGGTCGACGACAGTTGGTGGTAATACGGTGGTGTCGCTGCTGCTGCTGTGGTTGTTGTTGACGGGAAGGTGGTGGCCTTAGCCGGGACCGCCTTTCTGGAGATTTTCCCCATCAAGTATGGCTCTGCTCGTATTCCCACCGGCGCATCGGCGCTTCACTTGTTCCCGCTGAATAACAGAAAATATGATCCGATATTTGACTTGGCGCGAGCGGGAGTTTGGCTGGGAAAACCCAGGCTCGTGTCCGTTACAGCGGTTCGTCCTGACTCGGTGTGTGTAGCGGCGTCAGGGGTACCACCAACAGAGCTGCTTCTGACAACGCCGACCAACGGGACGCCTTTTCTGCCCGAAGAATGATGTTGATCAGTGAATTAGCCTGGGTCTGCGCCTCGCTCAAGTGAACAAGCGTAGAACGAATCGACCGAAGGTACGGGATAGTTCCCCAGACGCGGCGCTGCGGCGGCATGGCATGCGGTTTAAGGGCGGCGGACAAGAAATTAGGCAACCGTATTCTGTACCGGCTCCACCTGCATGCGGAAGCCCGAGCCGAATGGTGAGTTGTTGGAGATGCATTGGCGGCTCTTGTCGTGTCTCCATTTGGCGATTGGCATGCCGAATGGGTAATTGTCAAAGTTGGGAACGGTGTTGTACCCAATTGTCGGTGGTGGTGGCATGTTGAAGTGAGGTTTGCCATTGAACGGGAGGGCGATGGGACCAGGATAAGCATCAACAAGCCTTGGAGGTCATCTTGGCGAGCTGAGCCTCGTTGAAGCTGCAAAAAACAGCCTACCCCTGGCGCAATGGAACGATTGGAATATTCTGTCGGCCTCCAAACGAAGATATTTATCGAAGAAATGTCCGATTCAGCCGTTGAATTCAACGATCGTCCCGTCCCCTGAAACTCAACAACAAGCCGTATTTTCTTTGTGGCCAATCAATGAGGCGACTGTTGATAGGTGTCCACCTTTAACCGGAGAGATCTCTTGAAGCTCAATTCCAGTCTCAGGCGATCTCAGAGAACCTCTCCAATGAACATGTCCGTCCCATAAGCAACCAAAAGTTCAAAAGACCCATCGTTGGATCAAAACAATATGCATCGTTGCGACGGATGGCAAAACATTGGACACTGTGGGAATTGAACCCACGACCTTTCACAAGGCGCATCGTCACGTAGACGAAGGTGCGAAGCGAAAATCATACCCCTAGACCAAGCGCCCATTACTGGGAACTCCAGGCTGGAAATGATCTTAGAAAGCCCACCCCACCATCGCGAAACCATCCATCTCGCAAGGTGCGTTCTCCATCGCTCTCCATTGCTTTAACAAAGTTCGATGCGTAAACGACTACTGGTGAGTTGCCGATACTGAGAGCCCTCGGCAACTTCCTTAGCCTGCGCCAAACCTTTCACAAAAGCATCACCCAACGCAATGACAGACTCCAATGCATTGAAACGTGAAATCGCTTCTCATTCATCCACCCATTCGGGTATCCTACTCATACAATCATTATACAATCAACCCCTCTAAGCCTGCACATCACTCTTCAACTTCTCATACACAGTCTCGCCCCCAACCTCTCCCTGCCTCGGGCCTGCATCCCGCCCGGCCTTCGTCTGGCTCAGCTTCAAGTGCTGCTCCGCCACGCGGCCAGGGTCATTCTCACTTCCAATCTCCGCCTTCATCGCCGCCTGCACGCCGTTCTTGGTGTTCTTATCGTCGAAGCCCTCCGTGATGTTCTTGCCGTGCGGGCCGTTCGGGTCGCGCGTGTACTGGTTGTTGACGTATGTCGGCGCTGCGCCGGCTTGACCGGGCACCGATGCGGCGCCGCTCCCGGGAGCAGAGCCGGTGCTGGTGGAGGAAGTAGAGGCGGTTGGGTTGGCGGCGAAGGAGCCGTTGTTAGCGGCGGACTCGGCTGCGAGGGAACCGGCGGGGACGGGGCCCGTGGGCTCGGAGGTTGTAGGGGCGGAGGCGCCGGGTTGGACCTGCGCTTGTTAGTATTGTTATTCATGATGAAAATAAGCCAGGGCGCATAGTGAAGGTGTAGGCGTACCTTAGTGCCGGCGGAGGGAGCCTTGTTCTGTTGCGCAGACATTTTAATGGTGATATGTGATTGGTTTGTGATTTTGGGTATAATAGACTCGTTCTGTTTTAGTCGATTGATTTCGTAGTTGTTTGATTTGAATCATGCTGCTATTCATTTTCGAATTCGAGGCTCGTCGCAGCCATATAAATCACAATCGCCGTGGCCTCGCATGACATCATGTCGGCCTCGTCTTACATCAAACCCAAGCCCGGAGGAAAACCTCCACGCGCCGCACAGGCAACGAACCCACTGCGGGATGACTTCAGCCTCTCCACATATCCCACCACAGCTCTGTCGCGGGATGGGCAATGAGCGCCGCATTACATCACCCTTGCGGCTCTGTCTCCTCTCTTCATCTGTCGATTGAGAAAATGAGGCAAGATGAAAACTTGGATGAGATGGATGAAATGGGCATGTTGCAGGTGTGGAGGGCGATCGATCATGTTGGCGCGACCGATCGATCCTCACCGAGCCCTCACCGAGGGGTGGAGACACGTGAGCGGGGCGGCTCGCGGGTTATGTGCTGGAGCTTATGACGCGGATTGGGGACGAGGCTGGCCTTTCTTGGTGATGAATGATTGTGTTTGCACCTTTCAACGTCACAATTATGGATTAGTGAAGTCTTATGTCCATTGACGAGACAGAACAGTCTTGAGGTGGATATGTGGGATCTTCGTCTGTAACTGGACCCTTCTCGGCCGAGATGCGTCAGCCGCAAGATGTGATGCTAGGAACCGGAGCCTGCATTATTTTTTCCCCGGCCTACCTTTGTGAACAGTGCAACCCTCTTCTTATGGTGATCATTTACCTGCTTTCTATTCATTCTGTGGACGAGGCCAAATGACAGGATGTCTGTTGATACCCTAGAGCCTAGTAGAAAGGGTTTTCTTTCAGAAGGTCTCTGGATCAGAACACTGAAAGATGACCCGCGTATTCAAAACAAAACCTCATTGTGAGAATGTGATGCCATTAGGGTACAATACTTCCTAGGTATGCACGGAGTGAAGTCTCAGTTCACATTACTGCTTGGTTCTTTTCCTGATCTGAATAGAAACAAAACAAAATGAGATTCACCACCAAGTGCGAAACTCACTGCGCATGACTCTGTGAACCATCAAACCAAACAGTCTTAGTTTCTTGGCAGCATTTTCACGGGAAACGTTTACGAAATGTTTTAGTAAACTCATCCGGGGCTCGAGGTCTTATGACTGTGAAGCCCATCTTAAGCGGGGAAACGGGAGGTGTCATCTCGAAGCTGGTCTTGGCATCATCTTGTCAAAAGCTTAAATGACGCCAAACGAGGCAGCTAGCCAGGTTTCAGCTGCTCCGACAGGGAATGTCATGTTAATTCTCGCTTCATCTCCGCGCCTCTGGCTGGTCTAGGTCACTCGCAACTTCAAGTGCACTGCAATCGCGGAGTTGTTGAGACGACCTGCACTTCTGTTCCCTATTGTGAGTTGTGAGAATAGTCTCAACAACTGATTGAGTGCCCCGCTCTAATTCTGCACTTTCCTGCCCAGGATCATCTACTCCCTGGCTCTTTGACAGCCTCACTCTACGAAAGAGCGCATTCCGTCGGCACATTTTTCGCCATCAAGGCCCCTAACTGCATCACTTTCCAAATGGTGTACAATAAATTCAGTTTCGGACGTATGTCGCTCATTTAGTCTCTTCGCCCGACATCATCACCTCGTGGCACGGCCCACCTCAACTCAGGTTACACCCTGAACTGCGATGATCCAAGTTCGTCGCACAGATTAAACCCCCCTTTTCCCCACGAGTCAAATCAATAAATCACTCAAACTGAGTTTCAACGAAGCATTTCACGCAATATGGGGACCAGCGGATGAATTATGTGAAATATGTATTCCATGGAAAGATATGCAAGAATCGAACGATGACTAGCCGGGCCCACGATCTCTCAAGAGACGCAGAAACAGCCATGATTCCGTCTACCACGCGGCCACCACGCGTAGCAAAGTCTTCAGCTTCTAGCTGATCTCATCAGACATCAACCACTACCTAGACCCTCACTGAGGGAACCCTTTAGCACTTGGCGCCGGAGCCGGAGGGGATGCCGGAGCACTCGGAGGAGGTCTTGCCGCCGGTGACGGAGACGCCAGACCACTTCCAGTTGGAGCAGGCGCCCTTGGCGCACAGGATGTAGACGTTGGTGCCCTTGGAGGCGACGGTGCCCTTGACGTTCTTGACGGTGACATCGGTGATAGGGATGCCGGCGGTGGGCTTGCCGGTGGGGCTGCCGTTCTCGTAGTCCTGCTGGATCACGATGCCCTTCTTGTTGATGTTCTTGAGAGTGATGTTCTCGAAGGTGACGCCGCTCACGGAGCCGGTCTTCTTAGCGATGGTCTTGATGCGAATGCCGTTGTCGGCCTTCTCGATGGTCGAGTCGCGGATGACGATGTTCTTGACCGTGTTGTCGGAGCGTCCGCCGACGGAGCCGATGGACAGGCCGTGGGAGCCGTAGCAGTAGCCGTTCTCGAAGACGATGTTGGTACCCGAGTTGATGGCGAGGCAGTCATCCTGGTTGTAGACCTTGGCCCCGGAGATGGTCACGCCGGTGGACGAGCCGACGTCGAAGGCGTCGGTGTTGTGGCCACCCTTGGAGTCGCCGTCCTTGTTGTTGATCTCAACGTTGTTACTGCATAAATTTGTCAGTGATCGGCAAGCGGAAAGCGTAGTTGAGCAGAAGACTTACACCTTGAGGTTGGTGACTCCGCTGATGGAGAAACCGTGGACGGGGGTGTTCTTGATCTTGAGGCCGTTGATGGTGCCGTCGTTCATCTTGACCTTGAAGAACTTGGGCTTCTTCTTGCCGCCGTTTCCGCCCTTGCCGTCCCACCAGCGCTCACCCTCGCAGGAGATGAGACTGCCAGAGGCGCCGGTGACGGTGATCTTCTTGCCGCCGACGGAGATGAGGGGGCCCTCCCACTCCTTGTAGCCGAAGGTGGTGGTGCCCTGGAAAGTGACCTTGGTGCCGTCTTTCAGGCCGGTGAGGTCGAGGGTCTCGCCGGCGGGGACCTTGACGTTGTTGAGCACGATGTCGGTGCAGGAGGTCTTCTTGGACATGGCCGTCTTGGCGTCGGTGAAGGTGCACGAGCCGCGGGTGTCGAGCTCGGCGGGGGCGGCGGCGGCCAGGGCGCTGAAGCCCGCGATCATGGGAAGGAAGCGCATTGTTTCGGTGGTGGATGGGATGTGGTCAACACGAGGATAAACTTCAAGTTATGTACAGAAAGTCCTTGCTTTCTTAAAGAGAGACTGAGGTTGGTTTGAAAAGAGTGTGGTGAAAAGAGTGAATGAAGGTGAGTGTGAAGAGCACGATGAAGCTATCTAGAAACACCTCGAGAAGGGGGAAGTTTAAGGTTACTTATAAGGAGGGAGATTCACTCCCTGCTGGGCCGTTTGTCTGCCCAGTCATACGTCCTCCGTCAGCAGCAAGAATGCCATGCCTCTTTCGGATGGTCGGCTCATCGCTGTAAACATGCCCCGGCTCACCAGAGGAGACGATGATTTCGAGAGCACGCCCTCCAATCTGGACCTGCAGCCGGAGGTTCCATGCTGCTGACCCCCCAGTTGAGGAGACTCGCTCCACTTTCATTAAATGGTTCGAGCTTCAAATTCTGCACTCTCGTGGCGCACGTGGAGCGCGTGAGCTGGCCCTCCTGGCTGGGATATCGGCGAGCAGAAGTTTTGGGAAGGAGACTCGGCAATGGGATCACGGCCAGGTTCTTGGGACGAACCATCTGCAAGTTGTTGAGGGTGGTCTAGACGCACAGATGGACCGTTCCCGCCTTTCTGCAGCGTGGCTACGAAGCTTTTTGCCCAAGACTTTGGCAAAGCTTGGCAAGAAACATTGCTGTGCTCTCGAATCGTGGGCGCTGGGAAGGACTGCCACTTCAGGCAGCTCAATCTCAATGGCATCTTGGCTTTTTCTTGGCTTGGGCTTACCCTGCCGATCTACCCGATCACTTCCATGTCCAGCCCCAGAAGACAAGGCTGTATGCTCCACTGATTTTTGCGGCTCGCCCTGTGTGAAAAAAATAGGAAAAAGAAAGGAGAACGATATCCCAGCCTATTCCCCCGACGTCTCCAGCAGGATTCATGCAACTATCGAGGGAAACAGAAAAGGAGTTGGGATGATCTCCATGATTTTCGTCGGCGAGCGTCCGACCACCGGAATGAGTTCCGGGACCAACCCAAAAAAGATCTCGCAATCGTATCCCTTCCACTAGAGGCCTGCTGCCATATATTCAAGGGCCATGCTAATCAATCTTACTCGGAGCTGTCGGCTCACCTAAAGTGGTGTGATTAACCTTAAGAGCCCTAATTGCAAAAGACAGAGACGCTAGGACTTCCGACGGCCGACTCGCCTTGTGGGGAATAGGCGGCTCTCTAAACGGATACGGCCTGACGCGTAAACTTGCCCTCGGGAGACGTGAGGCTCAAGAGGCCTTGCTCGAAGGCGAACAAGGGCAAGATCCCACTTCATGGTTGGAAATTCGATAGACCAGGCCAGTTTGTTACAAGTTTAGACGAGCCCTGAGACGGCGAGCCTTCTATCAAAAGAAGGGGATCCAACGAAAGGTGAACCGGATTTACAATGCAACTCCCCTCGTAATGTGGGCACCTCCAAACATGGTCGTCGGGTCCCGACAAGCCCGCCCAACCCTGTCTATTTCTCTTCTGGCAGTTTGCTAGTTGGCTGATTCGTGTGGGCGAGCTAACGTTGGTCCTAGCCTACTCAGGCGCGCTAAACACCTCACGGCGCAATCTTACCGGCAAAATCAAACCGTCTTGGGAGATCATGCAGCGAGGTGCAAACCAATTCCAGCCACGGGAGCCAACATACTTGAAACGAGCCGGTCTTTGAACACTTTATTTCGACTCCGCACTGCGCTAGGAGTAACAAGGCAGAAAAAGCAATACGAAAACACTGGAGTGCCGGGTGACTTCATTTGCATGTAAAGTTGTACACGTTATTTCTGCCCACCTCTGGGCCCCGGGCAGTTACCGAAGTTCATCCTAGAATCCTCTATAGATGGCTCCGTAGCTCTTCTTCGGTCCAATTCCACAACGCATCCCGCTTCTCCTTGTTCTCGCTCAATCGGGTACCTTTACCGGTCACGCCCACCGGGTGGTAGAACGTCCCGCTCTTCACATCCGGGCTGAACGAGGCCCAGAGCTGGTTGAGCGCGCCCTTCTGCGGACTCACCGCTACGACCTTGACGCCGAGGTACACGACCATGCCGACGAGGAAGTTGGAGTTGTTCATGATGGACTGGGCGAGGTTGGTCTCCACGACGCCTGGGTGGATGCTCGTGACCTTGAGCTCGGGGTTGCGCTCGGCGAGCGCCGCGGCGTAGTGGATGTTGGCCACCTTGGAGATGCCGTAGCGGTAGCGGCTTGCGATCTCGGGCATTTTGGTCTTGAGCTTGTCGAATTCGTACGTGCCCTTGGGCGCCCAGCCCTCAGCGCCGGACGAGAGGAAGACAATTCTCACGTCTGGGTTCTCGTTCGCAGTCTTCTTCATGACGGGAAGGAGGAGCTGGGTGAAGAGGGCGTGGCCCATGTGGTTGGTGCCGAACTGGATTTCATAACCCTCCTTGGTGAGGCCGTCGGGCGTGGACATGATGCCGGCATTGTTAATTAGCAGGTCAAGGCGCTGAGACTCCTCTTTGAACTGCTTAGCGGCGGCCTTTACGCTCTCGAATGATGAGAGGTCCAGGGGCAGATACGAGATGGGCGACACGCTGGCTCCTCCCTTCAGCTCCTCAATGGCCTTCTCGCCCCTTTCCTTTGAGCGACCCGCCAGGTAAATGTGCGCGGGGTTATGTTTCGAGATTTGCCGAATCGTCTCCAAGCCGAGGCCGGCATTTCCGCCCGTAACTATGATGACCTTCCCAGTCAAATCCGGAATATCCTTGTCCGGGTTGAAGTTGTAACCTCCCATCAAAAACGCCGTCGCCATCTTGTCTGCGATAGTCTGTGAATTGCTGAATCGCTTTTGATGAGGATAAAATGCCCGTAATTAGAGATGTAAAGAGGCAGAAACGCCAAGCACGTGTTTAAAATACATCATGGCAGAAAGTTTGCCGTTTCAAACGATGCGTCCGACCGTCCCGGATTTCGACATCTGTTCACCCATAAAACCGGTCATAGAGTGGTGCTGCAGTTTCAGGGACTAGGGAATCCCCGCTTTGAGTTTCACTCACGACGACTTAACGTTCTGGCGATCAACAGTACTGGCCAGCTCATAGGACGGAAATACCGTTTGACTTCCCGGAGGGAGCTTAACACTTAGATCAGACTGCCATTTTGTATGCATTTGGGAAGGTGAGGACTCCGGCCCGGATGAATTTACCATCCCGTTGGAGAATCGGCGTAGATGCTAGAGTAATCCGAATATGATGATTGTGAATCTTACCAACGACGGAAGAAAACATATCTGAGGCAGTATATACACGGACATGGTCTTCGTTTAAAAGCCGCTGACTTACGCTATTGCGATCGGTAAGGTTCGTGAAGAATTCTTGGCGCCAAGATCAAAGTGTTCGGCAATCATGATCCACTCTCGTCGGATCGTCCCGATGTGGGCGATGCCAAACTTGCCTATATCTGAACTCACGATATTGATGTGGCTCCTGTTCAATCTGACAGAGTTTACTTTGCGGGCAGACTTTTGCTTTTTTTTGCTTGTTGAATAATCTTTGCCGTCATATTTAAATTGGAATGTGTGGATGAAATCACGACACGATTTTTAACAACTTCGACAACGGGAATGAAATGCGCGATAGAGACAACAAAGCTGATAGGAACAATTATGGAGATAGCAAGGATGAAGAAAATAAAAATGACGACAAGGTCGATAGAGACGACGAGGACGGTAGGGGTGACAAAGAAAGAGAGGGCGTTGGATGTCGCGTGAAGTAGCAGACATTTCCTGCTTTTGGAGTTACTAATAGCTAAAACTAACGATTTCATGAATACTGTCACACAATATTATGCTTCCTTGTGCACAATATAGAGATCGGTGGGAAGGTGGGAGTTCCAAAGAAGGGTCCCACGACATTTACAGATTTCCTGTTAATGAGTCTTTTTTTTAGTATGAAACTTAACTCTGCACGAGCCTGTTCACTAATTCTGAAAGAGATTCGCCAGTCTTATTCAACAAGTTATACTTGATCGTGTAGGTCTTGTCTACATCGTGCTTTTCTTCTCTACTTCAACTTGTTTTTCCCAGTCTTCCCAATCTCATCGTCTTCATCTGATGATGAAAGCAAAGAATCTTCCTCTAGTACCCAGTCATCTAAGGGTATATCCTCCGCCTGTAGTCTCTGATACTTCCTTCTTCTATATCTCCTAACGCCAATCACAATCCCAACAACGACGGCAGACAAAATCACAACGAAGCCTCCAAACAGAACCCACTTTCTCCCACCTCTCAAGCAGCACGGGTACCAAGCCATGTAAATACCCACCGCCCACTCGGTCCATCCCATCTTCCGTCTGTGATCTGGCTTGAGTCCCTTGCGAACGAGATGTTTGTGTCTTGGTCCAGTTGGTCCGGATTCGAAGCGCTTGAGTCCGAAGCGAGGCACTGTCTCCTGACGCGGATCGGAGTCAAGCCATTGTAGATCACCCCAGCGGCCGGTGTAATAGAAGAGGGACGTCAAGTTTGCATCCGAGGACAGCTTTGGGAACGACTGTTCGGGCGGCTCTACCCTGGTGACCGTGAAGGAATCGGCATGAAAACGGTAGAAGTAGGCTGAGAGGACGGGATCCCACTTCTCTCCCTCGTCACAGTAGTCTACTAAAGCTGCGTTATGAACTTGAAGCCTGGGATATTTGGTTAGCTCAAAGGTCCATTTCTCAACGAGAAGTGATGACTTACCCTGACGACGCATAATTGGCATGCGATCCGCGCGCACTGTAAACGACAGGCTATGATACATCAGATCAATAAACTCAAAGAAACGAAGTTCGCTGGTTTTACGTACCCGTTCGTCTATCTTTGAGATTTTTGAATCATCCCAATCATACGCTGCACCATCTACATGCTGACTGAAATAGATTCCCGTTGGCTTCCCGTCCTTAAAGCGCACCATGTTATGCTCCCTAGAAAGCCGTTAGTCTACCTCAAGGATCGTGCGTGATATGACCCACCAATCTCCAATGTGGTCGCCAAAATGCATCCCTGAAGCTGCCTTCGGGCCTTTGACTAAGCGATCGAGGGGCTCCAATACTTGAGTGATGTTCGGGCCTTCATTGAATGAGTAGAAATAAAAGTAAAACGCGTCGAGCTCGCGCTTATTCTTCTCAACAATGACTACAACACACGGCGTGGAGTTGTGAATGCGACCGGTCTCGTCCGGGGCTTCGCCGTAAAGCCATTTTGGATAAGTCGTTGGATCCTCGTTGGATACAAGCGCAACATGATCTTTGTTGCCGTATGCATTCAAAATTTCCAAGTTGTCGAGATCGAGCGGCGGCAGATCACTGATTGGCTTCCTATCGACCGCCGGCGTGGTATGGCGGACATGGGTCAGAAGGTCGCTCGGCTTGAACGGGTCATCCGAGTGCAGCCATAACAGCGGTGCTGGCAACCCTCGTTAGCTGTCATGTATCTTCCCGCATGATAATCCTACGATAAGCAAGAACTTTACGGGCTCAAATACCATGACGTGCGACATATTCCGGGCACCGAGCATCCGGCCCCGGCTCCGGCCCCGCCCGGGCGGAGTACGCGAGTAAGATGCCGAAGAAGCAGACCAGCAGTCCGGACATCGACGCCCGCACGTGAGTAGACGATGTGCCCGCCATCTTTCGCAGCTCGCAGCACTCGTGATGGAACGGCGCAGCTAAGGGATAAGCTCGAGGGAGGAAGCTCGTCGTGTGCAGCTGCGTTGCAACAAAAGGTCCAATCGCGGCGCTTTGTCAGCGTCAGCAGTCCGGTATCTTCGGCACCCGTTAGGCCCCCGTCGGAACACTCGGATTGGAGCAGCTGGAGCTTGGTCCTCTAATTCTTGCATTTTCCAAGCTGCATATCCGTTCCCCACTGACAATTATCGTTGATCAATTGGCTGGATGCCGCTGGGGGAACGCTCTTGGTGGTTCTTTGACGCAGGATTCGAGATCGATCATAGTGGGCCAACACGAACATGACGAGTTTGGCGGGCTGCATGCGATTTGATCACGAGAATGATGACTACCATCCAACCCACCAGTTCGTAGGGGCCGAAGAAGCTGGTGTCCGATTGAAGACCATGTCTTGCGATCTGGTGTTGGCTGACCCCCACCGAGTGCCACACTCAGTCATACGATGCACGGAGGGGTTGCATGAGACACTGTGAAGAGTGCCATCCGATGCGGGAACCGGCCACCATTCGATGGAGCCTAGAACCATCGCAACTCTTGGATGCCTTCAAAATTGAGGTCGGTAGCACGACGAATCTTGAACCAGACAAACGGGTCCATTGATCTGACGGCATTTCTGCCAGCATATGTCCGTTGCAAATCAATTGTGGGCACTGTCAGACCCTAAAAAGAACCGCTCATCTAACCAGGCTGTTCTTCTCTTCCTTGGTCGTTCTTACAAGAAAGTCAGCCCAACGATGATCTTTACCGGACGAGTCCAGAATTACAATCCGGGGAAGTTTGGTGCGGAGAAGCCTGCAGGTTGAATCGACCGACCTCGACCGTATACCCGACTGACAATGGCGGGGTTTAACGTGATCGGACCCCTGCGTGCCGCCTCGACAGCCCAAGGGGATATTCGCGGAATGCGCCATCCACGCACACTGCACACACGGCCCAACGCGGCAGCAATCGTCATCTCCTAGCACACACTCAAGGGCAGACAGTTAACGAGGCGCACGTACTTTTCGGTACTTCAGACAGCTAAGCCAACTAAGAAGGACTAAGCTTCACCAAGCTACCTAGGCTTTCTCTTGTCAGGGGGGGTTCACCAAACGGCCATGCGACCAACCAGGCCAAGCCTTGATACACCCTTTGCTGGCGACACCGACAGGCTGCTATGCTGTACTGTTACATAAGCTGCATGGAGGGACAGCGGTAACCCCGCAGTTTCGCGTTAGAGACGGGCTCTATTTGGATGCTCGCATCTTGCTGAGATAGGCTGGCTAGTCTGCCTCATTGTTCGCCAGACAGAAGTTTCTTTGGCGCTGGTGTACCTTTTACGACTTCAGGGCCCTCCACATCCCGTTGGTATGCTTGCCCGACGCCCGCTCATTCGAAAGTACGGACGAGTACACGCGATGGATGGGCAACGTTCCCCGCGGTTCTGGAGAACGCCCATTACTGCGTAGAGACCAGTCAGGCATACCGTCTGCGGGTAATATGGTTATTTAATCTGATCGCCCACGCGACATCCCGCCGGCTTCACACGGGACGACCCTCTATTGCTCGCCGTTGAGACTGGTGCTCGTTACGTTGGGCTCGGAGGTTTTCCCTCTTTCGCATCGTGAGATCGGCATGTCGTGGGCCGTTGCGACCAACAACTTGTCAACTTCTGGGCTTCCGTTCTGTCCCTCATCTTCCCTCGCATGTTGATTGCAATGACTGCCACTGGAGCTTTCTCGTTCTATGCCGGTCTCAATCTAGTTGCCTTAGGTCTAATATTCGTGAGTTCACTGCTTCAGCCTATTACATCAAAGTCACTAACGCAGCAAAGTTATTCGTACCCGAAACGAAGCAGAAGTCTCTGGAAGAACTAGACTACGTATTTGGCGTTCCTGATCGGACCCACGCCTCTTATCAACTTTTCACAGTCTTGCCTTGGTGGATCAAGCGCTGGATCTTCCAGAAGAAGACTGCGGTGTGCCCGCCTCTTTACCACGACGAGAACGCCGACAACCACCGTGGTGGCGAGTGATCCCCAAGTCACAGGAAATAACTATTGGAGAGCTTTAAAGGTTCAAATGGCTTGGAGAGGGTCGGGGCTTCGTGAGGTTAGATGGAGTTATTCGAGAATTTGATTATTGTGGATGATTGATGTGGATGGGTTCAACGATCATGGATGTAATGCAGAAGACTGGAATTTCTTTCTGTCGTTTCCTACATCAGACGTTGACAGGCTATTCCTGATATACCCTTCGTTTCAAAGAGAACACTTGCTAATGTCAGGAGTATCAATGTTTTGCAGCCTTAGTTACGGTATATTACGGCAAGCATGTGTGAATATTTCGTTTGGCAAGTGGTTCATGCTGTGTGGTCTCGAATGAACGAATGAGGCAGTGGCTAACACCGATAGTTCTCCCCATGTCTTCTAGCTCTGTACCACCCGAGGAGATAACCGGGGATAACAACACGATTCCTAGATCGTCGCTACATCGGACGAAAAGCCACAGCTAGGACCCATTTTCAGTAGCTCACGCGAATCGAATTAATGTTACCATGTGGGCGGTACATCCGGGAAGCTTCAGTTCTGTTACTGGGCTCTACGGTCAAGTAGTAGAACGAGGCTACCTGCTCAAAAGCTTGATGATAGATGCGCGGGATATGTTTTCCTTGGCACAGGGTCAGTGTCCATGTCACATTCGGTCCAATCACAGATATTTCCGAGGACTCTTAACTACTTGCCAAATATCACTAGAAAGAGCAATCATTTCCAAAGCTTGTCTACGGACTGATTCAACAACGACTCTGGGAAGATCTGTGCTTCCACTGATACATCATCATCGACCTCTAGCTCCGTCAGCATCGTCCACATCCTTCTGGCTTCTCAACTGCCGCACACCGGTGTACCTCCAATTAGAGATGTACGTCTCAAATGCTTGCTCTCCGTGCTTTCCGTTCGACGTAGCGTAGACCCCCAAGACGACCCCTGAAACCTTGTCAGTGTGATCACGACGCGCGGTGGACTTTGACATACCAGAGTAGTACGGCACCAACTCGGTACCCTTACAATATCCAAATACTCTCATCTCAGAGTTCTCTTCAGGCCCAGCAAGTCCGGCCGAGAAGGCAAAATGCGTGCTGTTGATCGCCTCGATCTGGAGAGCAAGCTTCTGTCCGGCCCACCCGTCAGGCAGAGGGAACACTTGGTTTGGAGGGTTCTCCATTGCTCGGTAGGGTGTCTCTGAAATACCCCTGAAACGCAGGTGTGGTCGCAAATCTTGACTTCCATTGGATTTGAGCATGACGATGCCCAAGTCAAAGTGTTGCGCCTGGTCTTGAATTGCTGAGATGCCAACCTCCATCTCCTCCTTCGTCAGAGACTTTGACCAGTCCACATCCACACGGAAGCGGAACAGTGAGTGTGCCATACGGCGCCCGACGAAAGTCTGACCCCGTCCCAGGGCGAAATCTGCGTCAAAAGCTGTGAGGTTGAGGACTGATGACTTGAGTGCGAGTGTTTTCCAGTGTCCTGGGGGTGAGACGGCGTAGTTCCTTGATTTAGGCAGACGCCAGTGGACAAAGTGAATCGGCAGTTTGCTGCCAGGAGGAAAGGTGACGGCATCGTCTGCATCACTGAGCTGTCCTTCGCCTTGCTCGGGAATAGCTTCGGACGGTAGCGGCCAACCGGACATATCGCCCGTGACAGGTGTGAAGACTGGTAACTCCCCTTCATTCCATGTGACTGGAGTGAGAACGGTCTCTCGACCCATCGGCAGGTTTCCGAAGTAAGCTCCTGGATCCTCTCCATATGAGCCGCCGGCACGAACCGCAAGAGCGACGGACCACCATTGACCCTTGGCATCTTGGAAAAGATCTGCATGCCCGACGGCCTGGAAGTATGAGCTTGTGTTATTTGCTGAAGTTAGGAGAGGGTTCCCAGGTGCAGGCTCGTAGGGGCCGGTCAAGTTTCGTGAACGTGCCATCGTGACCATGTGATTCTCTCTCGTACCACCTTCAGCGAGGAGAAGGTAGTAGTATCCATCTCGCTTCCAGATGTGCGGCGCTTCTGGGGATCGTCCGCCTGTGCCGTTCCAAGGCATGATGATGTCCCCGATCTCACCAGTCTCGAGGTCTAGTGGTGCGTGCATAATACCAGGGTAGTAGGCTGCAGTGTGAGCACCAAAGACGTAAGTCTTGCCGTCGTCATCCCAAAATGGCGAGGGATCGAAGCCTGGGAAGCTGAAGTGAACAGGATCGGACCAGGCATCTGAGCTATAAGGGTCTGTTGCCGTGAGAACGAAGTTGTTCCATCGACTGTCGTTCGTCCTTGGCAATTGTTGGTTTACTAGAGTACAGAGTAGGTAAAATGTACCCTGATGGAAGCGTAGTGTTGGCGCGTAGATTCCACTTGTGGCTTTTGGCAAGAAGGCCATGCCAGGAAGCTGATCTGCTCTGCCGAAGGCGTTGGAAACATGCTTCCAGTGGATCAAGTCTCGACTTGCGTGAATTGGAAGACCCGGGAACGCGAGGAAGCTCGATGTTGCACAGAAGAATGTGTTGTTCAACTCAGGCACGAAGATGCAACTTGGATCCGGATTGAAGCCGCTGATGATCGGATTCTGGAAGGTGGAATTCTGCGCCTGGCTGAACCCGACGAGGGCCAGCGCCGAGGCCAGCAGATTGGTCTTCATGGTGTTGAGACCTAGAATCGTTAATCTCACACAGCGTACCTCGTCTGGCGTGAAAGTCTCCAAACTTTACGTACTCTCCTTACGAGAATCAACCCCGCCTTTTACATGTCTGCAAAATCCCCAACTCGTGGATGACCCCGCGCAGGATCCATGGAAAACGTGCATAATCAGGTCCACAACCGCAGACAGAACTGCGGAGGATCGGCAGACCGGAGACGAGATCACGGATCGGTGAAGTAAAGGCACGGCGCTTTTCCGAAGCGCCGGTTGACTGGCGAATCCCGATGGGGGGATCCTGAGTTTAGCCTGATTCGCCATCTACCGATCTTGTCCAGCTTTGGGGAATAAGAGAATGCGGGGAAGATGCAGCGCGACCTGGGCCAAAGCCCGGGACCTGCGGGCATGACACATTTCCGTGGACTGGTGGGTGCGAAGAAAATGACATTGTAAGCTTGCGGGCAATTATTCCTGCATATCCGTTAAGGTCGACCACAATATTCTAATGAGTGTTTCTTCCTAACATATTGACATGACTTTTCAGACATAGGCGTTGGTCTCTATCCTCTCCTTCTCTGAATTTCATCTCTACATTGGCTCAAGCTCTTGATCTGGTTTCCCTGTTGGTCAAAGTTGCTATCAATCAACCAGGCCTCCAGTCCACCCTTGACAACGGGCCATTCGTCATCCGTGATGCTGAACCAAGCCGTATCTCTACGCCTATTCTTGATAATCATGTGTTTCCTAGAGACGTCAGCTGGGAATTCCATGTTTTGATGTATAGAGCGTCTCACCTGAACACGCCTTCGAAGGTAAAACCGAGCCTGTCGGCAGCCGCAAGACTTGGCTTGTTAAGGTTGTTGGCTTTCCATTCCAGCCTGTCGTAGTTCAAGTTCTCAAATGCCTCTTTCATCAGAAGATAAAATGTTTCGGTTGCTTGCCGAGTGCGCTGCAGCTTCGGGCTGAAGCAAACGGAGCCAATTTCGATTCGCCGGTGGTCCGGTACGATAGACATGAATGTCATGAAACCAATCGGCTCCGCTGATGGGTCTGTCGAGGGACCTGACATGACGGCGAAGTACAGTGGGTCTTGAGACTTGCTCCAGGTCGTGACTGCAGCTTGAAATGCATCGTATTTGAGAAATGGCTCTTGAAAGAGGTAGGTCCACAAGTGTGCGTTTTCCTCTCCACCGACATTCTTAAATAAGGCCTTCGCATGCGACGGCTGGAGAGGAACTAGCGTGGTGTATCGACCGTGGAGGGGCTCGCGGGACGGAGCTTCAGCGGGCGGGCCGGAAGAGACTTTGGGGCCAACCGGTTGATCCATGGCTTCAAAGTTGAACGAGGTAAGGTATGGAGACGTGTATTGTTGATGGAGATACTTGAGGCAAATGAATTGAATGAGATGGCAAGAAGCAATAAGTAATAGGAATACCGAGTTGTTGGGAGATGCTGAAATGACTCATTCGGGTCATTACGGCAGGTGGAAGGATTGACTATTTAACTTACTGTGATCTAGCTGTCTTCAGCGAGCCCACAAAACATCAGTAGAACACGCGGAACACGCCACAACATGACAGGCCTCAAGGCCATTGCGATTACCAATTCCAGGATCGGCACGGCCAGGGAAAACTCCAAAAATGGCCCGATAGACGCCGAAATCCATTTGCCAATACGCTTTATTAATACACTTGTTTTCTAATTTGGCCATGTCATACGATCTGCCGCGCGCCAAATATACCTTTGGGCGGTTCATTTTGCCGCCAGTGTCCAACAAAAGTGTTCGACCCTGCGCTGCCGCCTTACTGGCCAGACAGCGAGCTTCCCAAAATCCAAATCATTGTTGGCCAGGTTCTTCGACCTGCCACCTGCAATGGATTCTACTTGCGCTCCAACCGAGTTGTCTGCTGGGTTCTTTTGCTCCGTTTTTTCCATGTCGCTGCATTACGTGGGGCAACTAGGGGCAGATCCTTGAATAAACAGAACCAACAGTGTTTCATAATGTCGGGTTCAGCGCTTAAGTGCATGCTATTCCATGACACCAATGTCTGACCTCAGTGATTCCCATAATGCGAGATTTTATGTCGTGTTGTTTCCATCCATCAAGACTAATATCCAACTCATCTCTCCTCATACTACACTGCTGTTCTCTTTTTACCCCCCAAAAATACACGACGATGTCAATAATGGAGTACAAATATTTTCCTCTACCAACTGGACGTCACATTCGGGCTATTCACCTGCTGCCCTCCCCTGCGTTTGACTCTCCGCTGTATTGCTACATTCGAGAGCTCTGTCTTGATGAAGATGGTAATGCTTTCGAAGCAATATCCTACACCTGGGGGCGACCTGTTCTTGATTGCGTCCTTCATTTGAGCCGACAAAACTGCTCTCTCCGCATTACGCAGAGTCTTTCTGATGCTCTGCGTCGTTTTCGCCTCAAAGATCGTCCTCGAATTCTCTGGGCTGATGCGGTCTGCATCAATCAACAGGACCACCTCGAGAAAGAATTGCAGATTCCCCTAATGGCTCACATCTATCAAAGGGCAGAAGCCGTTCTCGTCTGGCTCGGGGATAGCACTAGAGCAGAAGAGGCCATGCGAGCTCTGAGTTGGGCAACGAGGTCCGCGGGAGAAGAACTGGACGAGGGTCAAAAAGGGAAAATCACTGCCTTTTTGGACACATTGCTCAAGCAGCCATGGTTTGGTCGTCGATGGATTATCCAGGAAGTCGTTCGCAATCACGATGTTACCATACATTGCGGTACGACCTCATTGTCATGGGTCAAGCTCATCGCAGTCCTTTCACGACTTGGCAAAGACACCGGAACATCCAACCAACAGGCCTTGGATGCGTTAATTCAGATGCGCAATCTGTGGAAGCGAATTGTTCTTCTGGAAGATTCAGGGGCTGGGCATACACTGCTTGAAAACTTTCATGCTTTCAGTCATTTGGATTGCGGAGAAGACAGAGATCGTGTATATGCTCTGGCAACGTTGTCGTCAGACGTTTCTATGACCAGAGAGCTGAAGCTTGTCAAGAGAAGTACGGACTCGGTTGGTTCTGTCTACTGGGCCAATCCGAAACCGCAGGATAGGGTCTTTCACGTTGTACCTGACTATGAGCCATCTACGGGGCACGTCTACACCAAATTCGCTGCAGAAATCACTAGAAATGGGCTGTTTTCTTGGCTGTTATGTAGGACCTGGCACCGACACCCCTTCAACGAGCTACCAGCTTGGGCACCAGACTGGCGCATTGCCGCTCCTGAGAAGCCCTATTTTCTAAAAGAGCTTCTCCAAGGGTACTCTGGGCGCGAGGAGTGGGCGTCCCGTGGCCTTCCGATGATGGCCGACTGGCCTAAGACTCGACTCCGAGGAGACTCGTTGAGATTGCGAAGCTTCATGATCTCACACTCCGATACGACTACCTTATTTCATGATGAGGCAAGTCTCAAACATTCGGTCTACATTCAGGCTCTTTGGAAAAGCAAGCCTCTGGAGTTCAAGCCCTGCGAAGACGTTTTCGAATGGGTCGATTCGTTCACCCGCAGCACTAGCAGCCTCTTAAAGACTATAGCACAGGTACATAGTTTCTTATTCTGTTGCTTGAGTATGCATGTAACACGTGCTAACATCGCCAGTCTCCGTTCGATGATCAAGACGTCAATGATGCCTGTTTTTCCCTTTTGAGCCATCTTCTCGGATACGGACCGAATTCCACATACTGGTGTGATGATAACGCGTCGGTGGCGGAGAAGATTAGAGCCCACGGTGTCGACACCGCGGAACCTACATTTTGTGGTCTCAATGGAGGTCGTTTCGTTGTGTGCGGTCAAGGTCGCGCCGAGAATGGGCGCACCTTTCTCGCATATACTCCAGTAGACATCGACCTGACGAGCGATGTTATCGTCCGGCCCGAAAATTCGTTGTCATTATCTATGCGCTCGGTGAAGTTACGTGCTCGGCCGGTCAGTATATCATTGATCTTGCGTGAGCGCATCGATCCGCAAGTTTCTCCAACATGGACAGAACATCCTCTTGGATCTTTGACGAACTCTTTCAAACTTCGTGGGCAGGCATTGATGGTCGGAATACAAAAGTTGTCCATGGCCCGGAGTGGTCGGGAAGGAGTCATAGATAAGTCTCACTTTGACTTTGACCTAGCCTAGTTTGCTACGTGGTTGATTCGTTATCTCTGTCATCAGTTCGCCAATGTCGGCAATTTTACACAACTGCGCAACTCCGTATCGACAATGTGTAATGAAGGGGCCCAAAACTAAGATTCAACGACAGTAGAAGGATTGCGTTTTCGTACGCGGGTCCTTGTGGGATGATACACGGCGAAGAACAGTCATTAGCAGAATGTGAAAGTCTAGTATGTGATCCGATATTAAGGATGCACAAGTCACTCTTCTATTGTGATTGCCTCTGCATTCTTCTCAGCTTTACCATCGTAATTATCTCCACCATGGTCTCTGCCGTCGTCTCTGCCTTCCTTTCCTTTCCTCTCGTCTCTATTCATGCCCCCGAGCATCAACCCTCATGTCAAATCAACGTATATTCTGACGTCGGCAAATACAGTCCTGATCATGCAGGAAATCTAAGTTACCTAACGCAATTAGGCGCTCTCTCATCAAAAGCCTCCACTCCAAGTCTCTCAGATACATCTTCATTGGTTTCTTCATCAATGGTGTTGTCATTCCCAAGCACCTTTGAGAAGGCTGCGGGTGGAGCAGTCGCTTGGCAGCCTTCAGCTACCACACACCATTGGGCCAACGCAACCTGGCCATTTCCTGCAGAACACGAGCAGCGCCCCTCATATAGCATCGGAAGATGGGAGCGATTGGACACCCAATCTGCTGCTGCCTGAGCCTTGAGGTGGATCCGCAAGCTGACATACCTGCGCGTCTCCCCCTCTTCTGTTTTTTCAACTTGCTCTCCGCCATCCTCTCTGGCCATTTCAAATCAGAAACGACGCCTGATGCCGCTGGTTGAGATTTTGAAGTCGAATAGTATCCCACTTCACGCGCCATCGTGTACTTCAACGATTCGCCATGTCAGATCCACTGAAATACACGATCGGGTGGATTTGCGCGATCAGCACTGAGTACGTGGCTGCTCGAGCTTTTTTGGACGTCACTCACGACCAGCCTGACTGCGTTTCCCCCCACGATAGTAATGAGTATACTCTCGGAGAAATGGGTAGGCACAATGTAGTCATTGCTGTGCTGCCGGACGCCGACTATGGTTTATCGACGGCGTCTGCAGTTGCTCGAAGCATGCTAAGTCCTTTCCCAAATATCCGTGCCGGCCTCATGGTTGGTATTGCTGGGGGCGCACCTTTGGATCTCCCCGGTCGGGACATTCGCTTGGGAGACATTGTGGTTAGTTCACCACGCGACAGGCATGGCGGAGTTTTCCAATACGACTTTGGCAAGACAATACAAGGCCAGCCATTCCAGCCAACACGCTTCTTGAACCAGCCCCCAGACGTTCTCAGAGCTGCGGTTACCGGTCTCAAAGCCGAAATCGAAGAGGAAGGTCACGACATCGATCGTGAAATAGAAAGAGTTCTTTCCAGAAAGCCAAGATTACAGAAAAAGTACAGTCGGCCACCCCAAGAGACGGACAAATTGTTCTGTAGTCACGTCGTCCACGGCTCAAGCATCGAAATGGAGGCCTCGGAAGACGAGATCCTAGTGTTTAGGCCACAACGAACAGATGAAGAAGACAACCCAGCAATTTCTATGGGCTCATTGCCTCCGCAAATCAGCTCATGAAAGACGCTGTGATAAGAGATGAAATAGCGGAAGAAATGGGGATCCTGTGCTTTGAGATGGAATCTACAGGACTTATGAACCACTTTCCGTGTCTTGTGATCCGAGGGATTTGCGACTACTCTGATTCACACAAGGCCAAACAGTGGCAAGGCTACGCTGCTATGACGGCTGCTGCATACGGGAAGAGATTAGTCTGCCGTCTCCAGCGGAACAGACTGGAAAATGAGAAACCAATGAAGGACTTCCTTTTGAGTAGTTGTAAGTAATACCTAACATCACCTCAATGCTTAACCCGAAGCGCTAATAAGCACAGTTCAGTCCATGCAACATGAGATGTCGGCTGTGAAAATTGAAATCGACCGCGATCAACTCAACAAATTGTCAATCGCCGATGAAGCCGAGTATGATTCACACCACAACCAATACCAACCGACTTGTCACCCTAAAACACGAATCCAATTATTGGCCGAAATCCGGAGCTGGCTGGAGGACCAAGACGACCGACGTGTGTTGTGGCTAAGTGGACCGGCCGGAACTGGAAAATCCACCATAGCAAGGACGATTGCAAGAGAGCTTCGATGCACCGCAACACCTCTAGCAACATTCTTTTTCAAGAGAGGCGTATCTTCCTGCAATAAAGCCTCATTGTTTTTCAGCACGGTTGCGCGACAACTTGCGAGGTATCGCCCTGAGGTATTGCCCTATCTCGTCGACACTATCAAAAGAACAGACAACATTTCGTCGAAAGGCCTCGAAACACAGTTTCGGGAGCTTCTGTTCAATCAACTTGAGCAGGCTTTCAGGGCGGCCCACGAGGCTGACTTTCAAATGGCTTTCCAAGACATTTGTGAACAGGTGTACATTAAGCTGTGCCGAGACATGGAGGAGTCATGTTTCGGTCCAACGAAAGTGCAGGACAGGAAGCTGGAGCAAAGCATCGAAGGCATGCTCAAGTATGTCTACGAGCCGGTGATTGACGCTGCTTTCAAACTTGCACATGGGACTTGTGATCACATTGACCCAATGCACAGTTATGGGACCCAAGTCTCATCAACCCAATCTAGTTCTACTCGAGAAATAGATAATTCAGTCAACAAGAGTGTTCAGAAACTCTTTCAAAATATCTCACTCAAAGCCAAGTATAAAGACGTTTACAAGGCTGTTAGCAAAAGAGCTGCCGAGGACATCCGAAGGCATGTTCTTGAAGCAGTGCCATCCCAGCGCGGTACACATAAGCCATCTTTTCTTATTATAGATGCGCTAGATGAGTGCTCTTCCGCCGATGATATTGAGACCCCCGTTCCGCTCCTGATGAAACTGGCGAGATCCCAAATTTGCAACATCAAAGTATTCTTGGCAAGCAGATCAGAAGTCGATATTCGCGGGGCCCTAGAACCTGGACAAGAGGTCTATGAAAACGTATTGCACAAGGTGGCATGGGACGTCATCACCATGGATATCAAAGTGTTTCTCGCCGACGAAATGGCCGCAATTCGGGATAAGTGGAATAAGCGAAAACACAACGATCCGTCCCAACAACTGTGTACGACTTGGCCAGAAACGTCGAGACTAGAAATCCTCATTGATCTTGTTGATGGTCTTTTCATCTTTGCGGCTACGATTTCCCGATTCATTGGAGATTCTATACACAGCCCTGAAGATCAGCTTTCGCTCATAATCAACGCGAGGCAGGCAAGCGGTGTTACCGATCGATTGTCTCCGATGTACCTTCCGATATTGTGGGAAATAAGATCAAATCTGCCCCACACGGATGCAGAGATCATGTTGGACAGATTCAAGACGATCATCGGTTCAATTATTGTATCAGAACAACCGTTGCCTGTGGACTCAGTGGCAGGCTTGCTGGGCGTAAACGTCACGCACGTCGAACACATATTGGATCGTCTTGTTTCCGTGATCGACGTTCCTAACGATCAACTTTCTCCGATACAACCTTTTCACCATTCCTTCCGCGATTTTCTCTTGGGCCCAGACGCCGGAGACTTTGGTATAGATTTCCAAAAGGCTCACCAGCAACTTGCCGGTTATTGTCTGGATCTTCTCACCAGCGATGATGGCCTGAGATACAACATATGTTACCTAAGGCCTTCCGCGAACCAGGAAGCAATTCGGGACCTTCAAGCTAAAAAGCGAATTCCACCTCATCTGCGTTACGCGTGTATTCACTGGGTCTATCACTTTTATGAAGGAGGTCTTCGTATCTTACCTGGCGGTCAAACTGACGAGTTCATCAAAACACACTTGCTCCATTGGTTTGAGGCTCTCAGTATCTTGGGAGAAATATCAAAAGCAGCAAGCATGGTTGATGCTCTCCTCAGCTTGGTTGATGTGAGTCAAGTAATTAACCTTGATTTATCATTGCTAACTGAGTCCAGGCACCATCCAGATCTGACCTATTCAAATCAATCGACGACGCGTGGTGGTTCATTAAGAGTAACGAAAAAACGATTGCTCGTTATCCCTTACAGGTTTATTGGTCCTGCCTCGGATTTGCGCCAAGGGAAAATATCACGCGGAAAACCTTCATTAAGAGTATCCCAGCCTTCATCAAGTTTCCACCCGGAGCTAGCTCAAACTGGCATCCACAGCTTCTAAGAAGCTTGCCAATGGATGTTTGCCTTTCCGTAGTGGTCTCACCGGATTCAACACTAATTGCAACCGGACATCCTTCAGGATTAATTCACCTGTGGAGAATGTCTAGCGGCACTCTGTCTCGAACGATACGTCTACGGGAACCGTGGCCAGGCCAACCAATGGATGTGACATGGATCCAGTTCTCCTCAGACTCCTCTCATATCGTATCGACATTCTCTAGACGCATACAAAACCACGTAGTGGACTCGGGAGAACTCAAATGGACGTCGCCAAGGCTTGAAGACACTATTGATCACTTGGCTGTGTCACCGACTCATGATATGCTGGCGACGGCTCAGAATAATCTCACCGTTATCGTATGGTCTCTCTCTGGTGGCAAACGTTTACGCACTCTCTCCAGCAGTACGGTGGAATCGCATAGTGTTCAGCAAACGACTCGAGAGGCCGATCCGACGCTGCAAAACCCATCCGGTTCCACTTACACAGGATTCGTTGCATTTCTCGCAAGTTTCCCTGTCATTGCGGCTTCTTTTGGCAGTGAAATTTGCTCTTGGAATGTCGATATATGGAATTCCATCCAGAGAGTGTGTCTTGCAAATCAGGTGGTTTCCCCAATGGTCCCGATTCCTGGCACATCCCGACTAGTTGCAATTGATGGAAAAGGAGCGATTCACGTCTTGGACATCATTACAGCCATAACCAGCCGCACTTTCCATGCTAGCTCATACAATCACCATGTGGCTGTTTCTCCTGATTCGAAGTTGGTAGTCTATACCAAGGGTCATCCAGCTTCACAATTCTTTATTGAAACCATTGACAGCGGAAGCCTTATCCAGGCATTCCATCGTCCATCACAAGCACATCAATCCGTGATCCGTCCACATAAGACGATATTGATACTTTCCCAAGATGGAAGGTTTCTCGTTGAATCAATCATGGAAGTCGGTACTGAAGATTTACGTGTCGCTACGGAGGGTGTCCGCATCTGGGCATTCCCGCCTTGGGACGAAAAGAAACTTCGAGTCCAAAGCAAGATGAGCTTTGATACAACAGATCGACCATATTCTCTCTCCTCTCAAGAGACATCGGATGGCCCAATGATTTGCTCAATCGATGTCTTTGGGAGGTTGAAACTTTGGTCACAGAGGAGTGGCCAAGTATTGCGTCATTTGCGAGTCAACGAAAACTCGATCCGCGGCCGGCTTAAACCTAGGGCGAGCACAGTATTGTCTCCAAATATGAGATATCTCTTCGAAAGAACTAAAGAGGGTGTTCTCACCATTTCTCATCTTGGGCATTCTGATGGCGAAGATGAAACGATCCTTCAAGGAAGACGTGTTTTAGCATGCGACCCCCCTCTGCGAAATCTCCAGATGGCCTGTTCTGCGATCTTCTCACCCGACTCCAAGCGCATCATTATCTATTCTTCCAAATATTTCGGTATGTCGACTGTAGATGGAGAGTTATTATTTCAAGACGAGGGGAGTCTACGGGGCTTTAAGTACCCAAAACCGCCTGGAATCAAATGTTCGCGAGACTGGAAGTTGGTGGAGTATTACATAGTAACCACTCCATTTCCACCCACGCCGGCGGCAAGCGTTGTACGCAAAGTGCTTTGGACTGAGGTGAACCAAATCATCGACTTCCCAGATCCAGTTACCGAGTCCATGACACTAGTTACCACAGCAGACATATCTTGGATAGCATCAGTGAGATTTATCTCCAGTACCAGACATTATGTTGCGTGTATCTGGTCAACCCTTGGAGGTGTGCGGATTCTTTTGAACGATAGGCTCAAACTTCGCGGCTACGGCAGTCAATTCCCGTCGTTGCCCAAACACGTCGCATTGATACGTACCTCTGGTAGAGTCTGGGTCAAGTCAACACGAACACAACAAGAGTTTCTGATCACGGTGGAAGGTGGAGAGAAAGCACCACGAGCGCGGTTCGAGCCATACGATTCCTTCTCCACGATGATCGGACCCGAAGTTGGTCCAAGCCTGTACACATCATCATCGAGAACTTTGCAAACTGTACTTCCAGATGGCCCTCCAAGAGTTCCCAGAAGGACAACTTTCGAACGTCATTTGTACACATTACAAACCGTTCAGGACAAACAATGGGTAATTTGGAGGGAAATTCGAGTAATTCTGCTTCCAAATGATATGCAAATGGGTTTCTCCCCCTGTCAGGAGACGTTTATTAGGGCTGCTGTTAGAACATCAGCAATCGCCTGGGCTACCCCCCTTTCTTCCCTTCTAACTTTTCTTCTTCGCAGTTTACTACCTAGAGGCGCACCTTATTAACTACTATATAACTCTAATAGGGAAATATATAGAGGGTTATAGTATAACTTCTATAGCTAACTTATAAAGTATATAAAA